TACACCATCCATAGAATCGCACAACTCCGCAATACATAGTTGGTCGGGTTGTCATCCGAAATTCGCTTATTATCGTAAAATATCGTGTTGTAGTACTCTGTAGAATCCTTGGTAATTTGTTCGTCAATTAATCAATTCGACGTGAACTGCACAAACATGGGGCACATGCCCAGTCTTGGTGCGCGTCTCTTGTTTGATGACGTTCACGCAACGGTATGTTGTGGCGCATGCCTCATGCATATCCAGGAATGCAGTCAGGATCGTGCCAATACCCCACGCGAATGCTCAGACACACGACAAACATTTGCTAGCAGGAAGAAGGCGTAGATAGATCTTTGTTACCCAACGCGATCCGTTGCAAAAGCGAGCGTGGGATCAGGTGAGCTCATGTTGATTAGCTTGATGACTCGCTAAATCTCGCTTATCAAACAGCTGAGTCATCGTCTGTACTCTTGCCACCTCAGTCATAGACGTATCTTCGTCCACTGCTGCCACATCGCTGTGGCGGCGCAATGCCATCTTTTCCCCCTCCTCTCTATATTTTCTTCTCGCATGTGCTCCGTATTTCCCCAAGAGGGTGCGCAGATTCGCTTGCGTTCCCGTAAATAACAGCAATGTTGTCCATCCGGGCCATTGTTTGAACACAGCGTCCGCTGTGACTCACCTCGTTCTCTGACCTCCTCTTGGCGTGCCAGACGCACTCTATGACTCGCGTCCGGTATTCCAATCGCTCGCTTCTCCTGCACATGGCGAACGACAGATATGCGACTCACTTTGCAACTAGATGTCCCCCTCGCATGCATGCATCAAAGCACGCAGGTACATGGTTACTGTACCGTAACCACCCTGTCCTCAACGCTCAGTAAGCCGCAGCTAGATTTGACACAGCTAATCCAATAGAGGTGCCATCGAGTCAAGTGTCAAGCAGGGGTAGGGGTCATGTGCGCTTCATGTGACACGCGGGACCGGCAGCCACACGCGCCGGTGTCCGAGCGCCCACATGCAGTTTGCACTCCGCAACATCGTTCCGTCTCCATTGTGAACTCTGCTCCACGAAAACATCTTCATCGCCTACGACTAGGAAGACAATGCCGCATCCTCCCCCCAGGCCTAGGAGAAAGCCGAATACCATCCCGGCTGACCCAGAAGGGGTTACCGGGGTCGACATAGAGGCGGGCACCGGGCAGGGTGGCACAGCACAGAATACTAGTGCTGGTGCTCATGGTGAAAACGTGAGTATTAATGCTAGGATGCTTGATAATGGTCACCTCTTCGAGGAGGCGTTGAGACTTACGTGATCGAAACAACACTGGGGGTTCCATGGCTGTTCCATGTGCACGGACTACTTTGACGCATTGTCATATACGGATCTTGGATGCATGACACGAGCTGACGGTATTCAACGTGCAGGATGGCATTGGATCGGAGGGCAAGACCCACGCCACGACGCAGGCGCAGACGATCGGAAAGCGGACCGCGGTGAGTACAGAACGTGTGGTTACTTCGCGGACCGGGAAGGTGGAGGTATGAACGAAAAAAAGGAGGACGAAGGAGCCAGAGCGAAGAAAAATTCGTCTGACTCTGAACCCTCGAATGAAGGTGCAGAGAATGGCTCGGACTGGGCAACGGCAGCGAGGTGGATGGCTAGTCAGAGGGCAGCTGGCCGGAAGAAGGCGAGCCGATACTCCCGCGTTACATGTGGGGAGTGATGGAAGAGTGGTTGACGATGCCCTTCACAAACTGGGGAGCGCGCGAGTGGGGGCAGTGGTGCTCGCGAGCGCGTGGAGAGTTCTGTGGCGCGCGCGCAGAGAACGTTTCGGTATCAAAGTACGTTTGAGAATGATGATGCTGACGCGTGCTATAGCCGTTGAATACCGAGGAAGACGACGAAGAGGGCGAAGATGAAGACGAAGATGAAGACGACGCGCTCGGTGATTCGGACTCTCCCCAGACGCCGAAGACAGGCAAAGGCAAGGCGAAGGCGAAGGCAAAGGCGGTAAGTGCGAGTTGATCCTAGGTGTGCGGGCAGCGGAGCGGCAACTCACTAAGAATGACGCTCCGGCTACAGAGGAAGACTGGGCGCAAGAAGGCCATTGAAGGAGGACGAAATGTGGAGGAAATGGCTGAAGAAGACCGGATGGGAAGGGAGAACGGGTTCCTGGGGTTCGCGCGTGTGCAGATGATTTTTGAAGCAGACACCAGCGTGCGCCACCTGTGGAACGAGGTCAATAAGCGTCCGCGGATTGAGCGGCACGTTCAAGCCATCCTCAGGAACATGCAGACGAAGGGCCGGCTGGACTGGGAGTATCCGCTGCTAGCGGCGGTGGAAGAGTCGCAGATTGACATGTCGACGCTGACGCAGAGCCCGGTCCCGTACGAGAGGGTGCCGATCTTCAAGTTCCGGATGGATGCGAAGGAACAGAAGATCCACTTCTTGAACGGCGCGCACCGCAAGGATGCGAACAAGCTGCTGTACATCGAGTATTCTACGCTGGCGAAGGCGGCGGAGCAGCGCCTGATGAAGCACAGGGAGGCGAAGACGAAGAAAGGGGCGTCGAAGGAGGTGAATGAGAAGGGGGAGATCGTGGACGTTGAAGGGGAACAGCTCGCGCGGGAGTTGGAAAGGCTGAATGCGAAGAAGACACAGTTGATGTATTGGATGTGCAAGATCTACGCGGACGGTGAGCAGGAGACGCGACAGGGGAGGAGTAAGATGTGCGAAACTGACCTGTTTGACAGGGAAGGTGCAGGGAAACCAGCGGGCATCTCTTGCGTCAAACGACCATCCGCCCGTGAAGGCGTCGAACACGGACGAGGCGCTGCAAATGGCGTTCTGGCGGTTGCACGAGGGATGGAAGATGTGGGTGGAGAAGAACCCCGATCAGCGGCTAGTTCCAGGAACGCCTTCGTTTCGCGAGAAAATCGTCAACAGGGTGTTCACGGAGAAGGAGCTGCAGATAGGGTACCACAACTTCATCCTCACGAACGGCGAGAACATTCGGTTCATGGAGGATATGTATCGGATTTCGCACTTCTGCGCTGCGCAGAACCTGAGCCGTGCGCAGATCGAGCGGGCGGTGGGCAAGGTGTCGCGCAACAACGTCTCAAAGAGCGAGTTCCCGGGTGGTGGTGCGGTAAGTGATTAGTGCTTGAATGAGATTAGATATCGAAGCTGACGAGAGGGTCGTGTTGTGTTGAAGGGCGTGCGGTGGCTTTGCCGGACGCTGATGGCGGACTTGTTCGTGGTGGCGACGACGGCGCACTTCCCGGACATCGAGAACATCAATCCGGAGGACGGAGGGCTGAGCGCTGCTGATGTCGCGACGTGGAACTACAAGACTTTGCTGAACGGCGATTCCCACTTCGTCGTCACTCCGGAGATTCGGGAGGCTGTTGGTGGGACGGAGTCGTTCTTGCGGGGCCACGTGGAGCGTCACGCGGAGCAGGAGTACCTGAAGCTGGAGGCGGTGTGGAAGGAAGTGGGGAATCAGTCGAACGAGGTGTGGACGGACGAGGCGATGGAGCTGGTTGACGCAGCGTATCAGCGACATCTTGTGAAAACGGAAGCGACGAAGGTTTACGGGGAGTGGGACAATCCTGTTTGGCAGTCGTCGATGGAGGGGTACTGGAAGCGGATTTTTAAAACCCTGGGCGGTTATTGGGCGCAACGGAGCAAGACGTTGGTTGGGCAGGATGACATCGTCGCGGTGGACCAAGCATTGAGGAAGCTGCAATGGGTCTTCTTCATCCGGTCTCACCGTCGCGAGTGGTGTGTGCCACTGATGAGCAGGTCTCACCTCGCGGACATCATCGAGTACTTCGACGTGAACTCGGACGCTTTCCGGATGGTAAGTCCTTTATCCCCATATGCTTTACAGAATTGTGCTGGTGCGCACATGTCTCACGCACCCTCGGGTAAGCGAATGTAATTCGTTCCTTCAGGAACGCATGTGTCCTGCGTTCCCGATTCAATTGCATTGGCAGAACGCACGTATACTCACGAACACATTCCTATCTAGCTCGTTCGTACGATTGACCCTCTGGCTCAATTGCCCCTCCTCCGCGTCGATAACCAGAAGCACGGACATCATCTCACCGACTACCTCGGATATCTCGTCTTTTACCTGTGCGATTCCACCAGATATCGCTTCTGCGACAAGACGGAAGTCGAGGACATGGTATGTTTCATTCCAGATCATGTAACGGACACATACCTCACTCGCGTGCACGCACCAGCTGTTCGGTTGGCTCATGACCAATATCAACCTCCTCGTGAAAGTCAGTAGACGCTACAAGCTCCACTTGGAGAAGTCGCACCGCGACTTCTACAGCTTGACCTACAGCGTGATCTCCAACGCAATCGTCAAGGCGCGACAGGCCGAAGAAGACAACATCTATCTGAAGGTCATCTCAGACCTCTTTCCGGACAGAGACTTCACCGAGGCAGACGTCGCGCGAGTGAAGGCCATCTGCAAGATCATCACGGACGCCCAGGCAGCCGTCGGAAAACTCACTGCCAAGCTCAAACAGCGGGATCTCGAGGGTCAGACCATGCATCAGACCGGCATGCATCAGACCGGCATGCATCAGACCGGCAGCAACATGCCTTCCTTCTCGGCCGTTCAACTCAAGCATTACCCGGAACTCTACATGCTCTACAATCACGGCTCTGACTGGATGCACCGCGAGGGTCAAGAAATGGGCAAGGGCAAGTCGACGTTCGACATAACCTACGCTTTCACCATGCACGCCGCCTTCATCTGCTACGTGGAAACCATCGGTCGCTTGCTGCTGAACTGTCCCGAGTACACGGATCTGCGGGATAGCTTCTTCCGCTCCTTCCTCAATGATCGCATTCTGCTGTCGCTCAATGATCATCTACCCACGAAGAAATCGTGGTCATCAAAGCAGATGTCCGAGCCGGAGTTCCTCAACTGGGATGAGCCCATCCTCGAGGACATCAAGGAGAGAGTGGGTCAACTCCGGCCCCGCGCCTTGCCGGTCGAGGTCATCCCGGACGGGAGCGTCAAGGAGCTCATGGTGCGCGCCGCTCGCATCGACGACATCAAGAAATGCTTGGCCCGTGTTGCCAGCGACATCCTCAAGTACCCGATAGCCCACGGCCAAGCGAGGGAGCTCTCGGACACCCTCAGAGGAAAACCGCGTGACACCTTGCCTTTGGCTTTCAAAGTGGACCGTCACATCAGAGTTCTTCTTCAGGCATGTCGCGTTCCCGTCGTTCATTCGATCAGATTCATTGTCCCTAGCCACCGACTTACCATAATGGCTTCCATCTTACAGGAGATGATCAAATACGCGTTGTACAGCGACTTTCGTCTCCGGCACCCGACGGCCCCCTTCGTCATGCCTAGCGATGTAGACGTACAAGATTTGCTACCAGTTCTCCCTCCGGCGGGTCCTTTGCCTGAAGGTTGCTACGCTTCGATGGACGACTTTGCGACCGCGGATCCTGACGCGGCGGCTCGATTCGCACGACGCCTTGCCGAGCTGCGCATGTTGGTGCGCGTGCCGACCGGAGATGCCGAATCGTCGTCGTCGGATGCGCTCTCATGGAGATTGCAGGGCGTGCCAACCAAGTCCGGCCAGGTTTATCCCCAAGATTTGTCTTGGTCTGGCGATTGGGCGACGGACGACATCGACGACCTTCCTAAAGAACCGACCTTCGAGCATCTTAAGGCCGCACTGCAGGTGCCTGACCAGTCCGACTCTGCGCACACCGCTGTTATGCCTCCCGAAGCAGAAGGTCGTCGACCCATTGCCACTGCCCACGCCAATGACGAGCCGCCTTCGCTCTCTTCGCCTCATCGCTCTTCTCCCGCCAGTACGTCCTCGTCCGACGACATGCTGCCATCGACTCAGGACAACGACGAGGGCAGAAAGGTTTGCCCGCCGACTCAAATCCCATCCGAGGTCAACAGCGTTGCAGATCTCCGTGCAATATTTGAGCACATCAACTGGAACAGCGTCAACGCCGCTGTGATCGAGGCGATGGACAGAGTGGAAAACCTCATTCCTCACGTCGCCACACTCGAGTCGAAGGACCGCACCTTTTCTCGCCTTCGGTACTTCTGGCATTGCCTCTATCACTCTGGCGCGTTCCCGGCCGCAATTGTTCCTTACCTACGAGGAGATGACCGCACGTTGCTCGAGCACACCATCCCCGAATCCTGGGACGAGTTCAAGGCGGAAGTATTGGAAGAAAATTTTGACTGGGAGGCTGAATTGGAAGAGGCGGCCAAGCGCTACACTATGCACAACTGGCGAGGTCTTCATTACCCGGAAGAGGACAACAACCCGGACTGGCAACCCGTTGTTGAGGAGATCGAGCAGCAGAGCATCAACAACATGATGGATGTAGACAGGCAGGATGATGCTGCTGCCGCCGCTCTGGGCGACGGTGCGTTTTCTTGAACGTCCCTTGATGATCGCTGCAAATGTGCTAACATACAATTGTCTAGGCGAGAGTCGTCGACGCAAGCGCATTCAATCAAACTCGCCACCGGGATCCAGGTCGCAGTCCTTGCAGAGGACGCCCCCTCCGAAGAGGCGCAAGGGGACGAGGCAGAGGAAGGCTGGGGCGGAGGCTCCGAAGGACAACAGCCGGGGAACGAGAATCATTCCGACTTGATGTGACAACTCGGACGCTCTTCGGACATATTTGTATATTCTCTCTGTCGTCATCTGTAACGGACTCGTTCTGGTTGCTTGGCCCTGTCTCCCCTCGCTTCTCACGCGGCTTGTTGTAGCTTATGATTTCGTGGTATGGTCGCTCCTCTCAATGAACAGCTGCGTGCGCGGATTGTTGCTTGGCGCTACACTGACAACAAGACTATAACTAGTGTTGTGCAGGGCCGGGCCGGGCTCAAAACCCCGGGCTAGGGCCCGGCTTTGGAGGGCTCGGGCTCACTGAACACTCGAGCCGGGCCCTAGTGGCGGGCTCAGGCTGGGCCAGGGTCGGGCTTTAGGCCTATCACATTATCAATGAGGAATGTGCATTATAGACGTACCTCTAGCTGTATTGAGGCCTTGGTATACTTGAAAGGAAGTGTGAGCAGCACGATGGTGGCCATAATTGGCGAAGAGACGGTAGGAGATCAGTGAGGCGGCGGCGGTTCTGAACTGAGCAGGTTAAGCGCTCATCGGATCGGCCACTTCAACATCTGTACCACGTCCGCCTGAAGGCGACACTACCAAGGTTGGTGAGCTATCTCTTACTTCTCCTAGCTTGACTTATCATTTATGATATTAGAGACATGTTCAAGGCCATATACAGCCCGATATAGAGGCCACCCAAAAGCCCGGGGCTTGAGGCCTTGAGGGCTGGGCTCGGGCTTGCAAAACTCCAAGCCGAGCCCTCGCGGCCGCAGTGTACGCGGGTTCTCATGCGTCAGTCGTCTTTTTCGTCTCCATTTCTTTGAAGCATGAATTCTTCCTTGGAACGCACTTGTTTGTATCATACATTCCTCTATATGCCACAGAAATGTGGGGAAAACATATAACTTCAATAAGT